ATCATTAAAATATTATTTTATCATATTCCAGCTAGTAAGTTAACATTCAACTTAGACGCTCGTCAATTTTTCAACAAAAAAGAACGAGTTTGAAACATATTAATATTTAAGTGATCATTTTGTAAATTTTAATAATAAAGAGATTCAACAAAATAATACCTTATAATCGGATACCATTTATATACTTTGCCCTTTAATTAAATTAAATGTATTTATTGATTCGGACGATCGGGAGAGAAAGCGAGAGCCGCATGCTTCGGATTTTCGCACCGCAAAAACCATGCCTCTCCACTCTCTCTCAATTCATTTCTTACCCGAAAATCTTTTATTTTCTTTGTTTTTCTTTTGTTTCTCTTTCGTTTCATTTTCCTCTCCCACCATCCATACAAGGCCTTTCCGTCTTGGGTTTTCGGAATGGTGTCGGAGGATAACTTGAACTCGGTTTCCATGGAAGACGATTTTGACGGCGGTGATTACAGCGATGGTTACGAAGACGACTACGATGATTACGGTGTCTATGGCGATGACGATGAGGGTCAAGGTTTGCTTGAAGATGACGACGCTGATGATACAGGCGTAGTTGCTTCTCGGCGTCCCAAGGTAATCTCTGTCTTTCAGTTCCGCGATAGAAGAAAATGCTTTCATTTTGATAATTATCCTAGGAAATAAATTGAATATTTTTAGGCCTGTTTTAGTGTTTGTCATTGAATTTTAAAGCATGAAGCTAAGGATTGCTTAATTTTGAATCAATCTAAGGACGTTTTAGACAGACACAAAAATTGAAGAAGAAAAACAGAAATTTTAATGAATTTAGTTTGGAAAGAGTAAAGATAAATCATGATCCAAGAAAATGTTTGGAAATTTATATAATTTTCTGTCAGAACAGTGGTGAAATGATAAAAATAGATTTTATGTTGCTGATTAGAGGTGTAATGAGCAGAGCTGAGTCCGAATAGTGACCAACTTGAGCTTGACTCAATATTCGAAGCTTAATACTCTGCTCGCACAACCAAACATCAAATTCTAAGTTTGAGCTCAGCTCGAACTCAAACTCAATTATTCGAGCTCAATTAAGCCTGTTCATATTTTAACTCAAGTTCGAGCTAAAATTAAATATCTTTTGCATATAAAACTACCAATGAATTTAGAAGAAATCAAATCAACGTTTGAGACACTTAAATATTATATATTTCTACAAAAATGATGTTATGAAACCTGCAGCATCTTTATAGATAGCTAGTCTTTAAAAAAAACAATGATTGGATAATATTTAAATATATTAAGCTTCTTTTTAGCATGCAACTCAATCATTACATTGAACATGGGCAACGTCATCTTCAAGAAAACCATGATCGTCATCGCCATCGTAATCAAAATAGAAAACTCAAAGAGATAAAGATGCATCATTGCTTGAAATATAAGACTCAAAAGAAATTGGTCACCTAAATGGAATTGTCAAAGTTCTTGTGATTGGAGCTTCGTGAGTGGTGGGTTTTGGGAAGCAATCGAAGTATAGGGAAAAAATCGGTTTCCTGAATGAATGCTTATGTTGGTTGGAGTGGTGAGCTGTGGGGAATAAAGGTGAGCAGATGGGGAAAGAGGGTTTGAAATTAGGTCAGGGTAAATAATATATGGTTAGGGTAATTGTGTTCTCTAAAAATAGAAAAATACTTAAAATATATATTAACTAGAAAGCTCGATTAGGCTCGTGAGGTGCTCGAGCTAGTATTAGGATGTTTGGACTCAGCTTGATCAATAGCTCAAGCTGCTCAATCTCGACTTGATAATTATCGAATAGAATCGATTTTTTTTCAAGTTGAACTCAAATAGCTTGTGAATACTAGTGTCTCATTTACACCCTATAGCTGATCATCAACTATTTTTCAGGCTCAAGGATTTTTGAATGATTTGGTTGTTAAAGAGGGAATGATTTTCTTAAGGGGTTACCACCTGCCATTGCTGATGTTCTTGATTTTTATTTAATTTAATTTGAATTTAAGTAGTTTATTAAGTCAGTTGTTTTTTTTTACATTTTGATTTCGTCACGATGAAAATTGAAGAAATAGGTTCCAAGAAACAATTGGATGAAACTGTTACTCCATGTCATAGGCTCGAGGTCTAAAACTTTTGGGTTATGGTGTTAATGATGAATAGATCTGGAAAGCGGGCTTTCGTTTCTTGCTCTCCATATTCTTGTGGTAATAATGGAATTGCTGGCTTCAAATATTTGAAGCTTGGAAGATCAAAAACATTAAGCATTGAATTTTGTACAAGTATTTCCTGCATTATTACCGTTATGCTTTTGTTTCCTATTTCAGCAAGGTTACACTGTTTTGAAAGAAGCAGATATAAAACATCGACAAGAGGATGATATTTCTAAAGTTTCAACAGTTCTTTCAATACCGAAAGTTGAGGCAACCATTTTGCTCCGTCGCTATAATTGGTAATATTAAGGTTTCAATATCAAGTTTGTCCATTTCTTCGTTTTATGTCTTAGTTTACATACACCATTTCAAGGCATCCTTTATGGTATTTAACATAGCAAGTAAGCTATTCGGCTTTGGTGGAAAGGTAGATGTGTGGCTGCTTTACCGTGTTCCAATTTTCGAAGGCTGTTCATAGAGTTTTAGTAATTTGTTTCTAAAATACGGTTGGTTATATAGGAATGTTAATCAAGTGCACGAAGAATGGTTTGCTGATGAAGATAGAGTACGAAAATCTGTTGGATTGTTGGAGAGACCAGTTGTAGAAGTATCAGATGCTAGCAAAGTAAGTTCTATAGATTTGCGAGTTTGCCTATGCTTTAGGAAACATGTTCTTTCTTTTTGTTCATCCTTGCAAATTATGTACCTCTGACACATACTATTGCTTCCCAACCAGTTTACTTGTGGGATTTGTTTTGAATCGCTTCCGTGTGACAATTTTGCTTCAGCTTCTTGTGGTCATCCTTTTTGCCGGGATTGCTGGAAAGGTATCTCTTAAATGCTTTGTTTGATAGGCTAATTATATATCTAATCTAAGTGTGGTTGTATGCAAGTGCTTTCCTTTTCTTTAAATTGAAATTTCCAATGAATATTGCCTTAACAACATACTACCATTTGCATTTGGTTATGAAGGTTTCGATTTTCTTACATTAGGTTGCTAATATATACTAAATTCAGTGTTCTTTGTTGTTGTAAGTACTCCACCCTTGTCAGCTCTAACGCTTCTGACGCAAAACCTTTGCTTATACTTTTTATGCTATATTTCGTTAATATGGCAGGTTACCTTTGCACAAGAATTAATGATGGTCCTGGATGTTTATTGCTGAGATGTCCCGAGCCATCTTGTAAAGCTGCTTTGGGCACAGATATGATTGATAAATTGGCAACTTGCGAAGAAAAGGAAAAGTATTCTCAGTTTCTACTCAGATCCTATATTGAAGATAACAGGGAGGTATGTCTTGTATTAGAATCTTGAGATATACCAATAGGTTACAAAGGATTATTAATCATCAAATAATTTGAACTTTTTTGCTTGTTGATGACCGGACTTTTGAAAGTCGGTTAGACTCTTTGCAGTGCATGTTTACTTACTTGTGTCCCCTTTTGTGTAGCACTTGTGCAGCTGTGCATGCAATGCATTAGTGAGCATGAGTTGCCGGCTATCTTAGTTTAATGGGTTCTCTCTTTTTGCTGAAAGTTCTTATATCTATCGACCTTGTCACTGCCAGACCAAGTGGTGCCCTGCTCCAGGGTGTGAAAATGCTGTGTATTTTGCTGTTGGCTGTGGTGATTTTGACATCACATGTTTGTGCTCAATAGTTTTGTTCTCTTCTCTAGCGTTTTTTGTTTTTTATTAGATTATATTTCATGGGCATCACTCACTAACGGATGTCTTCAAGCAAATCTTGATTGCAGTGTACTGTAGAAGCTCATCGTCCTGTTGATTGTGATACTGTGACAAAATGGATGTTGAAGAATAGTGTGGATGGGGAAAACATGAATTGGTACGATACATTGCACTTTCTTGAAGAAACATGCTAATTATGATTCCTGTATTTTTTTACTATATAATTTAAATTTAGGAAGAAATGCTAGATCTGTTTTTCTCCAAAGCTGGATATGCTAAACTAACTAAGAAATGAAAAGGTCTCGTTTGCGAATGGAGCAAACTGGAATGAGAGGGTCGCCTGCGCCTCTGTAGTACCCGATCTGGATTAGTTAGTTAATAGATCGGATATCAGTGATTAATTAAAAAAAATGAAAAGGTCTATTATGAAACCTCTTTTCAGTTTTTTGCACTTTGTATTCTTTTTGCTTCAGCTCTTCATTTTCTTAAAGTACCCATGTCAGATACATTTTAAGATATCCTTAGGATATCCGTCTAGATAGATCTTCCTGGAACCCATCAATATATAAAAACACTTGGAAAAGAAATTGAGCATGCATGTGTCAACCACTAGTGGTGTGCATTCGGTCAATTCGGTTTTTATTTATCAATAACCAAATAAACCGACTTAATCATAAAAAGTAAAAATCTGATAAACCAAACCAACTTTAAACCCAAAATCGACATAACCAAATTTTACTTCTTCTTTTTTGCTCCTTTATATTTTTTATATATAAAATAAAAATAATCATTGTTAAGTTAAACATATTTGTAATTAATTAAATAATTAGATTGATTTTTCATATTTGAGTATTTTATTTCATATTAAGATTAAATTAGTTAAATATATACATGCAATTAATCGGTTTATTCGGTTTGGATAGAACTGATAACCAAACCTAATTAACAGCCAAAACTGAATAAACCAGAAAAATTTTGTTATGTCGGTTCGGTTAATTTGGTTTAATCGACTACGATCTCAACCCCCTCCAACAGTCACATTCGAGTCCCAGTAACATAGCTATGCATAATTCCGCCTTGTTGGCAATTTAACATGATTAATCTTGTTTGCAAGGGCAAGCAGAGGAGGTATTTGAACTAGGTGATGAATGAAATGGTTTCTAAAGTGAGACTAAGTTCACTTTTACTTTGTTGTTAACAAGGACTACTTATACATTATTAACTCTATAACTGAGTGCTAACTAAACTGAATTCATATGTGTGTGTGTGAATATATATATATATATATATATATATTTATATACTTCGAAACCTGTGCTACTTTTTTTTATTCTGTTCCACATTTTATAAGCTTCACTCATTTACATAGTCTGATAAAATATGGACAATCTTGCTATCATGTTTACCACTGTTGTTGTATGCTATGTTCAGGATACTAAATAATTCCAAGATTTGTCCCAAGTGTAAGCGGCCAATTGAAAAGAACCTAGGGTGTATGCATATGACATGCACACTGCCTTGTGGTTATGAGTTCTGCTGGTAAGCTTCAATTTTTTTGTTTGTCCTGATAAAAGACACTACTTGAACTGAGACCGCATAATGGTAAGTCTGTCTACTGTGAGTTTATAGTGAGATTGAGGAGAAAGATTGCTGGAAATTCTAGGTAGTGTGGTGTGAATGAATGTTAAAGCAAGAATATTGCAACTATAAAGGAAAAGTAAGAAGTGGGAAAGAGAGAGAAGAATACAAAAGTATTTTAGGACATACTTGTCTCGGATATATACTTGTATCCGACACTCGCATCAAAGTTCGAGTATCTTGGTCTAAATTTTTTAGGAAGACTATGATTGTAATAGGAAACTAACTAGTTAACAAAGTAACCGGACAAACTCTAAGAGAAAATGAGACAGAACTCCTCTAAGTAACATAATCCAATCAACCATCATCTTCCTAGGATGCATTATTTGCTGAAATTTGAAAAATAATCACAATTCATGATAGATGATCTGAGATTCCTAAATGCAAGTTACATAAAAATTGAGATAAAATTGAAGTCTTCAGCTTCTCTTTATATAACAGTTGTAACCTTTATGTGATGTTAATCATATGTTATGTAAATGTAGGTTATGTCTTGGTCCATGGGCACAACATGGTTCGAGCACTGGTGGTTTCAATTCTTGTAACGGATATGAAGCTGCTAAGAAGCAGGGAGTATGGATACTAATAATGCCTTTTTCAGTCATTGTCTCTTTAACATCTGCTTTCATAGTGGTTGAACTTGCGACTCATGATTCATATTCTTGCTGGCAGTCTGTGGATACAATTAGGCGAGATATGGCAAAGAACTCCTTGGATAGATACACTCATTATTACGAACGCTGGGCAAGCAATCAATCAGTATGCAGATTTCCCTGATTTATCATGGCATGAGTCATTAATAGAATTTTCTTAAATTGACTTCTATGTACTGGCTTTTATGTGCTTCATAATTAGTGCTTTCGACTCAAAATTTTGCCTTTTCCTCTCATACATGAACCTTCCCATGCCCGAGTTTGTGTTCCATAGCTTGAGACCTTTATTCGTTGATATGCCACCAACTGCTTAATCTTTCTGAGGATAAAGTTATAGTAGAATACAGTGAGTTGGAATTGTTTCATGAATGTTATTTCGGATGTTTTATGTTTCCATGATTGGTTCTGTCTTAGCTATTGTCTTTTGTTTCCTTTAATGGATTACATTGGTAAAATGTTGCCTTCTTTCAATAAAAAATTGGATAACCTGGAAGTTCCTATTTTTGCAGTCAAGAGAAAAGGCTCTTGAAGATTTAAACAGGATGGAAAGTGAGCTCGTAAGTTCTTACCTCTTTTTTAAATTTAAAAAACAAACTTTAAAAAGAACAAGAAATCGAACATACTTGTACATATAGGTAGCGGTGAGAGTTCGATCGAGTCGAGTTAAAAAAATTAAAGTTATTCGAGTTGACGAGTTATATTTTATAACTCAAACTTTATTTGAAAATTTTTTGAGTCGAATTGTTTGAGTTTATGTTTAATTTCAATTGTAAATATTTATAATATTATGTTACTATTTGATTTCAATTTAAACGGTTTCTATAACAATATACAATACATATATATTTAATATTTCTTCATAATTTTTCATATGTGATATACATATATCATACATAGTTGAGTCACTCGACTTAAATTTAAAAATCAATCAACTAATTACTAAAGTTTTTGAGCTGTTCGAATTATATTTATAACTCGACTCGAATTTGAAATTTTTTCGAGTTGAATATTCAAATCGAGTTTTGCTTACCCCTATATATAGGTATTGTTTATTTGCTTGTATTTGCATCTTTATATATTCTTTAGATACTTGCGGGGTTTTTGTTTTTTGCTTCTTTAAAATGATTTCATGGAGTTTTGAGTGTAGAATGTAGTGATTTTATTGCCTTTTTCTTTGGTTTAGCTTTTATTTAAAAGTTATCATTCACCTGATAGATATTTGAAGCTGCTTTCCAGCATGGTCGTTTGACCTCGGAATTTCTGCAGTGGATTTGATTAGAAAGCAGCTTTACCATATTTCATGGTTTCATTCGAATAGTTAGTAATCTCATAGCTACATTAGGTCTATATCGGATGTATACCTTGCTTTCTTCTTCAATCTCTTACTTTTTAAAATTTCTGAGAAAAGTTCTAATCTTTTTTTTCCAGATGGAGAAGCTTTGTGTTGTGCAATGCACAACTAAATCTCAGCTTAAGTTTATAACAGAAGCATGGCTTCAGGTAAATCATAATCATACGACTGTCATCTGTTCATCGTTTTCTTTTTGGAACAAAAGGAGTTGATTCATTTGTTTTCCTTTTGCCGATCCGTAAAATATTGAAGATAGTTGAATGTAGGCGAGTTCTCAAATGGACTTACGCATACGGGTATTATCTTCCCCAGCATGAGCAAACCAAGATTCAGTTTTTCGAGTACTTGCAAGGTAATACACATATTTTCCATAAAAATACTAGAATTTATTTTTCTAAAGGGATCGTTCATGGCATGACCGACTCTCTGTTTTGTTCAGGGGAGGCCGAGGCCGGTTTAGAAAGGCTTCATCGGAGTGCTGAGATAGAATTAAAGAAATTTGTTAAAGCTGATGGCCCATCAAGCGACTTCGATGACTTCCGTACTAAGTTAACCGAACTAACTAGGTTTGTTTTATCCACTTTTAAATGGAACGTATGGTTAAACAGTACCTGGGACTGGCAATGATGTTGTAATATGTTACTTCTTGTTCTTCCAATAATATTTAGCCGGAATTTCGCGAAAGTGGCCGGATCTTTGATGTTTAGGGTTTACTGATTTTAGTTTTCGGTACATTTCTATATTATAGTGTGACAAAAAAGTACTTTGAGAATTTGGTTAGAGCACTAGAGAATGGTCTGGAGGATGTGAACTCCCAGGACACAATCGGTAGCGGCAAGTCCGGGAACCCGTGAGCAGTAAGGGGAGAGGTGCCGGGGAGCCCTAGAGCCGGTGGTTCCGACAAGAATGTAGATGATACAAGTAGTCCTTGTAACTCTGCTGTGCCTTCTTGTTTCTGGGTTCATAAAAATAAAAGTTTTTAACTTTTTTGCCGGGGACGTACCTTATTCCGGTACGGCATCCGCTCAATCTATAGTTACATTGATATGTATATGGTTTATGTGTACAAGTTGCATTCTTACAAATCATGTAGGCTTTGAATGCAAATATGCAGAATATGATTAAATGAATCGATATGCATGAGATGTGTGTGAATAGAAACATGAAATATTGTAAGCATATTGTTAAAATAGAATTTAATGAAATATTTGTAATTTATCTATAACTTTATATTTGGAAATAATTACAAGATAATATATGTTTATAATTTTTTAATCATTGATAACACTCTACGGATGCAGTTATTTGAATCTAAGACCTCAAGAAATAATAACATTTAATGGATTTTATATACATGAGTTAGTTGTGAAATAAAATATGAAATATGAGTTATGTGTAACAAATACAGTTAAATATGAGTTATGTGTAACAAATACAGTTTTGGACATTTTTATGGTAACTTTTTGTATAATTGATTTTAGTAATTTAATTATTGAATTTAATAATATTATTGTAATTGTAATTGGTGTACGTAACATTTACAATAATTTTGGTACTTTTATCGTATCGATCAATAATATTATTTTTGTTCTTGTAATATCTACTTTACTTACTTTTATCATCATTTAATTTGATATATTATAATCTTATAAATTTACAAAATTTAAACACCATTTATATTTTTGACTTATAAGATAATATTTAAAGATGTAAAAATTAAAATACTCTGTTTGTACAAATAATTACTTTATGTTTAATTCTTTTATAAAATATTTTATTCTTAAACGTTTTATTTTTATCAAAAAAGATCGTGTTAGATAAAAATCGTTAATCAATTAATGATTAATCTATATTCTTGATATAATATTTTTTATGTGTGATTAATTGCTGATATGATGAACCCATCAAATTTCTAAACAATGATGATTTAGAGAATTAGTTTAACACAATTTGGGTTATCATCAAATTTATAGCTAAATTAAGGGATTTAATTGATGAAACTCAAATACATCATTCACCATATTAATCATTAATATCAACAGAAATTGTAATCAAAATTAAACAAAATTCACGTTGAAACCCTAAATCAAAACTTTGGTTAAACCTACAAATTCAACCCCAAAAAAGAAAACATATACTCAAAACAATTATTCTTAAAGTTGCGAGGAAATTGCTAGGGAAAACAGGCTCCATTTTCCATTAGATTTGACAACTTCGAATCACTTACAACAACGAAATCACCCATCTTGTTCGACATCGGGAAACAGCAATCTTGATGAAGCAACGAAGAATAATGAGCTCCGTTGTTGCTCCATTGAGACTCCAAGATGAGCAGGAAGATGTAGACCGGAGCAATACACGAGATCGCCAACGACAGAAACATCCCTTGTGTGAGAAAACAAGATGAAATCGTTGATGAAACATTCATTCTTTCTTCTTCTTTTTCTATCTTTTCTGGTGGGTTTTGGTTGAGATTTCAGAGAGAATTTTATGATGAATGATGATCGAAGAGGAGAAGATAAAAGAAAGAAAGAAAGAAGGTTTTTCAAAGGATTTATATGAAGAAAAAAAAATTGAATATCGAATTCAATGAATGATTGATTAGTTGATTTAGCGTCTAGGGAGAACTTGAGAGAATAATGAATTATAATTAATAAATTTATAAATAAAATGAATAGATATTTTAATTTTTTTTAACCATTTGATACAATGTATATACTTAAAGATGAGCATGAAACCTCTATCTAACAGTTCTGATCCAACTTGATTTTATATAATCATTTTTTTTTAAAAGAGAACTTGCGATTAAATTGAGTCAATTTGATTTTACTTTTGAAATATAATATCGAATCAGATTTATATTTAAGATGACAAATTTTCGGTCCAAGAAAATAATATAATTATTCCTTATAAATTTAGAAATAATTATAATAATATATTACTCTGTATTTTTTTTTTCAATTACTCTTTTATTGTCCTCAATAAAAATATAACTTTGTAGATATATATTTTTATCCAGTCGAATTAAGTATGTGCATGGATAGAATGTTTGGATTGAATATGAGTCGATCAATAACCCGACTCGACTTGATCATACCTATACTTGCATATATTATTTGAATCTCTCCTCATTTATAAATTGAAAGATATTGAATATCTAAATATATTTGATTTTATATCCTTTTATATATCATATATTAACGATATCATCTATTGAATTAAATTCAATCAACGAGGTTGTAATTTTCTTAATTCCACGTGTGAAAATGAAAAATCAATGTATAATTTTTTTCATTTGATTTTTTAATATTAATTAAAGATACATAAAATAAAACTTCATAGTTAATGTATAGAATAATTTATCTTTAAATTTAAATTAAATATATATTTATTTAATTGCTATTTTAGTAGTATAATAATTTGGGGGTACAATGCATGTGTTTGTGCATTGAATCTGTTAAATAAACATCCATGTTGGGTCCCTATCACATGTGGATGTTGCCTTTCTTCTTTTACTAATTATACAAACAAATTGGGGGCCATCTCAGTATATATTCTATGAATCTATTAAATTTTTTAAATAATTTTTTATTTTCATTTTTTACCATGAGTCTTATGTTTTAGGAATCGAAAATGACAACTTCAACCCCACACAAAATAAATAAATATTTTTTTATTGACTTAAAACAATAACAACAACAAAACCCTATTCTCATATGCAATGGGATAAGGGGAGGTAGGGTAGTAGGTTGCCCCCAATGCTTGGTTGAGAGCAGCTTCCGTAGAAGACCTCCGGCAGTCAAAAAATTAAAAATAAATATAAAACACAATGCATGTATAAATAAATAAATAAATAAATAAATACATGGTTGAACAGTCTTTTTATGCAGTCTTCAGATGCACGTCTGTAATGGGAAGTAATCCCTGCAAATAAATCCATGCGTAAAAATATCTACATATAGATAGAAATGTAAGACCTGGATAAATTTAAAAAGAGGAAACATGAAGAGAATGATACACAAAAGTCAGCGATAGCAAGCTACGAGAAGGAATAAAGTCAAATGGGTTAAAACCTAAACTAAGGTAACACTACTCCGCTACCCTAGTTCTAAGACTTCATAAATTCCAATGTCAGAAACGTATAAAAAGTAGAAGTCATGGAAATTACTACAAAGGCATTAAAAAG